CAACACCGACCATGACCTCATGTCCATCATCTTGTGTCACTATACAGATTGTATCAACACCGATCATGACCTCATGTCCATCATCTTGTGTCTCTATACAGATTGTATAAACAATCATGACACCGATCATGACCTCATATCGATCATCTTGTGTCACTATACACATTGTATAAACACCGACCGATGTCCATCATGACCTCGATCATCGATCATCTTGTGTCACTATACAGATTGTATCAACACCGATCATGACCTCATGTCCATCATCTTGTGTCACTATACAGATTGTATAAACACCGACCATGACCTCATGTCCATCATCTTGTGTCACTATACAGATTGTATAAAACCGATCATGACCTCATATCCACCATCTTGTGTCACTATACAGATTGTATAAACACCGACCAGATCCATCATCTATGTACTATACAGATTCTATCTATAAATCTTGTGTCCATTTATGGCGATCATCTTGTGTCACAAGATTTATGATCATGCTTTCCCATCCTTACAGATTGTATACCCATGTCATCATCTGGGTGTTTCTATACAGAAGCCTTAGGCGCACCAAGTTTAATGTTGCTTTCCCATCCTTACGAGGTACCCATTCACAGCTGGGTGGACTTGGACATATAGTCACAGTAATTTGTCCAAGATTACTGCACGTTGTTGTACCCGCAGCTAGGTGTTTGAACGTATTCATGTGGCCACCATCTGGTCATATACCAACGGATTTGTGGGTTCTTTTAAGTGCACAGGGTTGTGGCAACACAGAAAGCGTCTGCACACAAAGTTGACAAGAAGGTTTTTACACCTGGCCACAGGTGGGTTCGATCTCGGCACCTCAAGCTCTCTGGATTACTAGCCTGGCGCCTTATATTGCTTGCCCATTGCGCCCCATCTTGTGTCATATGACTTCAGGCCAACTAGTCTTGCTTCATGTCCCGTATGCCGAAAGCCAGGTATAGTAACAAAAATTAACATACTTTAGCGTCTTTCCTTATGAATTGCATCCCTAACCTTCCACTCTTCGAGAAGGCACTCTACCCACTACATCACTGATACAGGCATGTGTAGGCCTGTTTACGTGAATGAAGCAGCAAGTTTCAAAACATCAAGGTAGTCATATTGATTTTATGGACCCTTGATCGGCCATTATTACTTTTGCCATGGTAATTTTGTTTTGAATTGGTTGCAGAAGGAACTGCCCTTCATCGAAACGAACCATCATCATAACAACGTATGATATGGATTTACAACGTCTTTATTATTTACAACGCGACGTTTCCAGGCTACTTCTTGCCCCAGAAACGCCGTGTTGTATATAATAAAGAAGTTGTAAATCCATACCATACGTTGTTATTTTACCTTCCAACTTCTAAATGCCCATCAAGCATCTCAACCATCATAATATTTCCAACATTTCCTGAAAGAGTACACGGATGAAGTTGATTTTAAGGAACACTTTTATCAGAATAGACCTAGTTACAATGGCAGCCATACAGAGATGGCTTCAAACAAAACAAAACAAATCTCGTTTGATCGTCTTAAGATGATACGACTTGTTCTGTAAGTGGTGTTGATGCGAGTTTATATGGATTTTACTGTGGTTTGTGCATGCAGAGCTTTAAGTACATGATATCCTGTATGTGATGCAAACTGATAGGTGGAATAATATACACGGTAAACGGGAGAAACAAGAACGCCAATACGCCTTTAGAAGATGTGAAGTGTACGTGATGGATCTTATCTGGAGATATTCGCCATCATGTAATACGGCGCACTTAGACAACATGATCAATGCACTGCATTGTGGGTGAATTGTTGACCGAAGAAGGATGTTGTTAGCGAGGATACGTGTCCATATACAAGCAGCGTCAACAAGACACTGAATCAAACCTCCTTCCAACACAACAACTTCCCCATAGGAACCAGGACTGTAATATATATACTATTCACACTTTGCTAAGGATCAAATCATGGATTCAAGAGAAAACTATGATGTGGGGTCAAATTTGGTCTAAATATCTAAGCTTATTGTAAGCATGGATCCTAGGTTTCAGTATGTCCTTTCATCTTGTGGAACCCATACCTGCAACTGACAGGTGTTGTGTACTTGTCAATGACTCGTTCCATGATTTGCAAAATGGTTAATTGGTGCCATGAAAACCATTTTTATGGTTACTCATGCATCAAGTGCATAGGGTTAGATTAAATTGACTGTTTGCCTAAGATGGGTTATTATTATTTAATTTTCGTGATCCTTAGCAAAGTGTGAGTAGTATATAACGTTTTCAAGTCACACGCGAACTGTTTGGTACAAATCATTACTTTGTACACTATTTTCTAACGTCCTTGTTATATATCTTAATGTATTAACAATCCATTGTTATTATTTGTAACATGTTCTTATGGTAGCTGCATGTAACATTTTAGTATTCACCTTTAGTGAAAGTATCAATGTTAATGTGTTCGTAGCTTTAGTATGTTACCTGACCATCCTTGTGTCTCAGTTTGATTTTATATATTTTCAATCAACATTTTTGTTATGCCATTCATAATGTATTTGATTAGCAGGAAGGGTCACTCTAGTGGCTGCAATGGGTGTGGTCAACACATGATTATTGTATTTAAAGTCGGTTTCAAAGCATTTGGGGATGAAGTTGTGGAATTTCAGTCATAATTGTTAGAGTTCATTGTGAATTGTGGGTGGGTTTTGACGCTGACGTAGACAAAACTGCCAATTGTCTAAACTTTAAACCCTCAATAATGAGGTGTCCGCTATTTACATGGGTGCCAGGTATCTAGAAAGGTATCTGGTGATGGATAACCACATCCTGAGTATTCATGTGTCATCCTAACGCCATCGTAAGTATATATAATTATATGCATGATAGGATATCCGAGGGGCGCGGTGGGCGAGCCGGCTAAGGCCCCAGGCTAGTGATCCAGCGAGATTGAGGTGTCGGGATCGAGGAAACCTGTGATCGGGTGTAAAACCTTGGAGTCAGCTTTGTGTGCAGACTCTTTCAGTGTTGTCACAACCCCTAGTGTACAGTTGCATGATAGGATATCCGAGGGGCGCGGTGGGCGAGCCGGCTAAGGCCCCAGGCTAGTGATCCAGCGAGATTGAGGTGTCGGGATCGAGGAAACCTGTGATCGGGTGTAAAACCTTGGAGTCAGCTTTGTGTGCAGACTCTTTCAGTGTTGTCACAACCCCTAGTGTACAGTACACAACCCTGTGCACTTAAAAGAACCCACGAATCCGTTGGTATACGACTAGATGGTGGCCACATGAATACGTGCAAACACCTAGTTGCGGGTACAGCAACGTGCAGTAAGCTTACACAGAGTACTGTGACTATGTGTCCCAGTCCACCCAGCTGTAAATGGGTACTTCGTTAGGATGAGAAAGCCACAATAACTCGGTGCGCCTAGTGGCTGCAAGAGTTGTATACTCCCCAGGGAGTTGAGATTGATAATACGATGTGCCGTTGAGATTGACATCCAATGATCGATGGAAAAAAGTACCAGCGCCTTGAGCATGCACTAGTTGCGTGGATATGTGCGCTATATAAATATCCTATACTACTAGTATGACACTTCCGTGAGAATGTTGTTTGTCGGGCATCGAAACTACCTCCTCAGGTGTGTGTGATTTGTAGGGATGCGCAATATAACCGGTTTACCGGTATTTACCGGCTCAGACATGAAAACGATACGTATTGCGATACGCTGATCGAAAACCGATATTTTGACTTGCATTCGGAAAACTTCGTAACACTCGGAAATCTTCGGATATTTCCTTGTTTCATTTGTGCCAAATATTATTCACATTTCTATTTTATCATGATGAAAAGTTGTTACTAAAGCTTAATCAAGCAGTGATTTTGCTGTGTTTTTGCTCTATAAATCAAGCATTAACTCGATTATAAGTAGTATTTTGTTTAAAAATACTTCATGCAATATATTGCAATACATATCGCAATACATGCTTTCGCATCGCAATATATCGCAATATGAAAATTATCTGCAATACCCACCCCTAGTGATTTGTGGGGAAAAGTATCGACAGTACAGTGTTTTACAGGCTCTTTCTACAGAAGTAAACATATACAAGATCTACACAATATATTTACAAAGTAACAACATTTATAGCCAGGCTGTTCCAATATATACTGAGTCAAACTAGAAACTTCACAATCATATATTAAATAATATACACAAGAAAGGACACAAGACTGTGGTCTAGAGGTTATCATCTATTTATTAATGTCGATAGGATGAACTGAGAATAATCACAATGCCAACAAAAATCGGTTCCATATGGTTACAGACTTTATCAATAAAAGGCGTAAACAAAGTGTCAAGTCACAAGAAATTACATCTGATGTTTCTAATGGACTGTTTCATGCGTGTGAATACATTATTGAGGAGTCGGCGCCAGTGTTCCTGCAAAGCAGCACTGCTCCTGCAAAGCAGCACAGATCCTTCTGGGGTTGGTTCGTGAGAATGCGCAGACGTCTGCCAAGAGCATCCCAGATGCTCGAACACGACGGTGAGCAGGTGGCAGCCGGTTTCGGATGGTTTGTGTCGACAATCGACCCCGAAACAGCTCATTTCCGGTTCCTGTAGCCGTAAAACAAACGGTTACGGAGGTGGCCTAACACAATTTGACGGTCCTCCGTCTGTGTCGAGACGACCTGGCTTAGGGTGATCAGCAGTGGTGCCAGTTTGCTGCAGTCGAGTCTGTAAATCATAAACAGTCGGACGGCCGCACCCCACTAACCATGCAACGTCACTTACTGACGTTCCGACCTCCAGCATGCGAACGGTATGTTCACGCTGCACATTTTCAGAGGCACGGCATAAGAACTGGCTGTTCTAAATAGTGTTTTAAAGTGTTATTTTCACTCTGTACTGTTGATGGGAACAAATGCGATCGAATGCACGTGCAGTGATAAGACAACGTGACCAAAGAAGGTGTGGGCGTGGCAGCTGTCGTGAAACACACGTTCTAGCACTATTGTGGGGTTTGGTGTTTGGATTTCCTTAAATGTGCTGTGGTGAGTGTGTTCCTGAGTCGATACTTGAGGATTAATATTATGATACCCGAAAACTGTCTACTATAACAATTCACATTTTTATTTTGATGGATCTCGGCAACAAAAACATTAAATGTAAGTTCGGATATCTCATCTATCAACTCGAGGTTTCTTCATTGTTTGGGATGAGCTGACACTTGTGCAATCATGCGACTACGCATGTCCGGTGACCTTCACAGCATCCAGTTCAACCCAGTCATTTGCAGGGCCGCAGTCGACCTCGATCCGCAGTTGATCAGTTTGATAAGTTGGTTGCTGGAGACGAAAAGAAAAACAGTTATAAACATACATCGTTGGAAACCATTTGATCTTCAGAACAAAGAGAGGGGCGGGGGTAGTGATTAATGAGTTCGCTCTTCACGCCGAAGACCGGGTTCGATTCCCAACATTGGTGCAATGTGTGAAGCTCATTTCCAGTATCTCCAAAGTGGTATTGCTGGTATATTGCTAAACGCGGCGTACAACCTTATTGACTCACTTACTCAGAACAAACTGATGGTGAGAAGATGGACGGACATATATTGGTTTAGGTGAATCCCTTTGTGGGTACTTGTATTGCATGTAAGAAGATATTGATATAAACATATGTATAGGTGGGGAGAAGATGGCGATGTACACACCTGTATTGGTGGGGAGAAGATGTTTATGTACACACCTGTATTGGTGGGGAGAAGATGGCGATGTACATACCTGTATTGGTGAGGAGAAGTTGTCTATGTACACACCTGTATAGGTGGGGAGAAGATGTCTATGTACACACCTGTATAGGTGGGGAGAAGGTATAGGTTGGGAGAAGATGGCGATGTACACACCTGTATTGGTGGGGAGAAGATGTCTATGTACACACCTGTATTGGTGGGGAGAAGATGACTATGTACACACCTGTATAGGTGGTGAGAAGATGTCTATGTACACACCTGTATTGGTGGGGAGAAGGTGTTTATGTATACACCTGTATTGGTGGGGAGAAGATGGCTATGTACACACCTGTATTGGTGGGGAGAAGATGGGATGTACACACCAGTATTGGTGGGGAGAATGTCTATGTACACACCTGTATTGGTGGGGAGAAGATGGCTATGTACACACCTGTATTGGTGGGGAGAAGATGTCTATGTACACACCTGTATTGGTGGGGAGAAGATGGCGATGTACACACCTGTATTGGTGGGGAGAAGATCCTACTGGAAGCGATTACAGATACTGTAGACACCTGCCACAACACATCCCAGGTGGACGTGGACGGGTTCCTAGCAGACACCTTCTTCACTCCCCCAGCGTTGAAGGTCTCGTAGATGTCCACCTTGGTGATGAACAGCGACTGGGAGACCTGAACCTGAACAGTCATTATCAGAGAAGCTTCTAGAGAAGCAAGACAATTAATCCAAAGCGATCCCATTCAATGTAGTACACTGATGTGGTGCAAAATGTGAACAATCAGTGGAGTGAGTGAGTTTAGTTTTACGCCGCACTCAGCAATATTCAAGCTGTATGTCGGCGAACTGTAAATAATCGAGTCTGGACAAGACAATCCAGTGATCAACAGCATGAGCATCGATCTACGCAATTGGGAACCGATGACATGTGTCAATCAAGTCAGCGAGCCTGACCACCTGATCCCGTTAGTCGCCTCTTACTACGAGCATGGGTTAATGAAGATCAATTCTAACCCGGACCTTCACGGGTAACATCAACAGTGGGGTGTGTTGTACTGAAGAACTTAAATACATGACTTCTCGCGTTTTATATATTTGCTTGTACATACATCAGTTTCAATATGTTTTCTCCTAAAGATCGTCTCATGTGCAGTGAACGACATGTTAACGAGTGAAACACGATTATTTATTCATTGATCAAACCAGGTGTCACAGTGATGTTTTTTTGTGTAGGCCCTATACAGAAATATATGTAAAGATGATGGCTCCTTTGGAACACAAGAAATTGCATCTAACATTAGCCCTTTAGAAAACGTTATGGTTAACGTGTTCCATAATGGGCAACAGTTCTCAGTTAAACCCCTTTACGACTTCGTCATCACCGTGTGTTTGGTACAGGATTCACGTACCTCTATCCACTCAATACCGGTCCACTGAGCTGATGCCCATGCGTTTTCGTGATCACCATAGGCGGGGTACACATCCGGTGATCCAACTATTTTCCCAGCACTCCAGCTAACATTAAACAAAAGAGCGACATCCCATTCCACATCCATGAGTGAGTTAATATTCAACGTCCTTAACGTCACATCGGCAAAATCTCAGCCACATCGTGATGAGAAATTTATTAAAAAAAAAGAGATGAATTCAACGTCCATGAGAAATATCCGCTAAAACCAGAGTCGATTAAACAATTCCGACTATAGCATGGGCAAGTGTATATGAAACACTAACAACACGTGATGACACCAGGTGTTCGCGAAAAGGTTCGCCACCGGTGGCACACGTCATAAACACATGCAACGGCAAGTCAATTCTTCTTAAAATATGAGAACCGGATGGTACAGGACAACATTTATTTTTACTGAAGCATCAATTTTAGAAATAAACGTTTGATTGTTTTTATCGGATGAATAATAGGTAGTCATTATAACCTGAAAATTTAACCGTCTAACGGGTCAGGCTTACAATTTCGCCAAAGCCCATTGTCATTACTGATTTTCAGTTATCCATTCAAGTAATTTTCACCGCTATTTCGTATTTTACGCACAATGGATTCTGTTTTGGGGCCAATCGAGACAGGTTATTCACTGGGTTGACGGCTTATATGTACTGTATTTACCATAGATATAGGTTTGTTTGTTTGTTTGTTGTTTAACGCCACCCTCAGCAACATTACAGGTATTTGAGAGTGGTCTGTAAATGATCTAGTCAGGACCAGGCAATCCAGTGATCAACAGCATGAGCATCGATCTACGCAATTGGGATACGATGACATGTGTCAGTCAAGTCAGCGAGTCTGACCACCCGTACCCATAAGTCACCCCTTACAACAAGTATGGGTTGCTGAAGATCAATTCTAACCCGGATCTTCACGGGAATAAGAGAGGGGCGGTAACTTGGTTGTTGGACCAGTAATTGAGTTCATCCAGAAATAGGCAAGGCATGAAATACGTTCCATAAGCAGGAAGTAGAAAGTTGTGTCCAAGATTTATATTTGTTCATTGCTTACTGTTAACGTGGTTGACTGTCTAAATGCGGAATTACTGCTGTGTAGCGTCTATCCTAATTATGTTTGGTGAGGTGAGGGGAGGTGAAATTGGGTTTAACGTCGTACTTAAGTATATTTCGCTCATATGACGACGTGCACGCATGTGTATGTGTGGCTGCTTGTACTAGCCCAGGCTTAACCTGGTTTTACAGTGCTAGCCCACTGAGATACCATGCCGCAGTTAAACATGAATACCCAACTCAGACACATCATACTGACTCCGAGCAGACTAGTCCTTGTTGTACCCATTAATACCGAGCGACAGACAGGGACCAACAAGTACCATATGTTAATGTCTTTTGGTATGACGCGGTCGGGGATCGAACCCGCGACCTTCCGCTCTTCCGATTTGTACTACTGTAGCGCTTGGTCTTTGGCAATATGGCGGACTCCAGGCACATTTGACGTCACGAGCGGAAAGGTCACGTGGGTTCCAGCGAAATATGTATAATGGCCGAAGCTGAGATTTACAGAAACTGTTTTCGCGATTAAAACATAATTATACATACTTTTTAATTGAAAATTTGGGAATATGTTTCTGATGACTTTATCTTTTACCCATCAAATTATTGCAATTCACTCGTATTCTCCTTCAATGTCTTTTGGTACCTGCGACCTTCCGGAGTAAGGTGAGACATGCTCTCCCTGTTCGTGAATACCTGGTGTCATGAGGGAGTTTCTTAGGTCCATTCCTATACTTTTCACAGCTATTTTGCCCTTTACGTCAAATGTAATCAGTCGGAACCTGTTCATGCTGTTGCGTTGACGTACACTATCTACAACGGTATGTTATGCATCCTTGGCAGTAGATATGTTTAGACAGTGCAGTATGGAAACAGGTCCTTTGTCCATGCAGGATCAATGGCCTGGAACAGTCTCCCACAGAGTCTCAGAGACTGTTGTGACTTTCATACCTGTAAATCCAATCTAAAAACACACATGTCCAAGATAGCCTATGAACTGTAGCTCTTTGCCTTACTTGCATTTTTATTTGTGCGCGTTGAGCATGCATAAGCATGGATATATGCTCGTATGCTATTATTATTATTGTTATTCTCAAATCTTTTTTGAAATGTGGAATCATCGGAAATGACGTGCATTGAGAGACAAAGGTGCAAGCGTCCACACTTACAGACTCTTACAGAACGAATTGTATAATATTTTCTACGATGATTGTTACTACCAATATGGTGGCCTGCGCCTCGATAATAGCTGGCATTAATCAAATTATCTAATGTACATCTTCCATCAATTTCATCAGCAAGGGAATACCACGACAAATGTCTTTTCTAGATCAATCAAGACCGAAGTTAGATGTCTTTATTGCCTCTAACTAATGCACATTAATGTCCGGTAGTGCTGTATCCATTGTTTACATTTCCCAAATCATATCTCGCCATTCTTTACTTTACACAAAACGGAATTTGTTTCTAGGGTAAGGCAAACTGGGTATTCTTTAACACTGACGATCTATATTATGCTATTGTTCATTTGAAATGCTGTGAAGAGAATACCAAGCCTGCGTGTGAGGCAGATCAATATCAAGGTCCGGGCGTTTGTCCCGCTATGGGATTAGTAGCGAATACGTTATGGCGGTACGTCCTATGCTTTTCACGAACACCGGGGGTCATCACTGACTTTCAGTACTCCATTCAAATCATTTTCTTACATATGTTTGCCTTAACACCAAATTGAATCAGTTTCTGAGGAGAGTTAAGATTGAGTATTTTTTTATTGGCGTTTGATATTTATACAAATCCAAAGGTGGAACCATCGCTTAAACTCCTTTTGTCGGTGGAAGTTAAAGTCAATATGTGCTAACTGCCTCTTGGTTTAGTGGATAAAGCGGTTGGAGGGGTGGCCATATTGATGATTGGATCCGAACCTCTTGAACATTGGTGTTATTATTAAACTTTCGGCTTCATTGGTTCGTTGTTTCTTTGTTGTTTTACGCCGCACTCAGCAATATTCCAGCTATATGGCGTCGGTCTGTAAATAATCGAGTTTGGAACCAGACAATCAGGTGATCAGCAGCATGAGCATCGATCTACGCAATTGGGATACGGTGACATGTGTCAACCAAGTCAGCGAGCCTGACAACCTGATCCCGTTATTCGCCTCTTACGACAAACATGGGTTACTGAAGACCCAATTCTAACTCGGATCTTCAGCTTCACTGGTCCAGTGTTTTCGGAATAGCATACGATGGACGAAAGACAAACAGTTAGTGACAAGTCCATTTGGAGCCAGGTGTGTTAAACATGTACATGTACCCATAGCTACGTACACAGCTCGTTCAGCTTGACCTGATCAAGTGAATACTCGTAACCGTGTTTCAACTGGTTGGGTCTATTATTGTGAAGGGTCTATTATTGACCAGGTCGCCGTTTGACACCTCAGTGTCGAGAAATCGTCAGCAATGTCCTAACTTTCTTTAAAAAAGATGCTTTATTGTTTCCGATTCGAGCTTTTATGCAGCGAGTAGCAACATTAATAACATTCTTTGCTCCCCTATTTAATAAAGTTAACTCGACCTGCCGTTTGTGCCATTTGACCTCCCGGGTCATGCATATGTAGAGTAGCTCAGGTCAAGCTGAACAAGCTGCATTTGGGTCTACTTACCGGAGGGCCCTGAACTGAGATGAGAAAGCGACAACAGAGTCCACCCACAGCGACATCGGTGCAGATGCTGTAGTTACACCTGTAGTTGTTGTCGTGGTAGTTGGAGTTGTCGCATTATTTGGTATCACTGTAGTAGTTGCAGCTGTCATAGTAGTCGTTATGGCTGTCGTCGCAGTCGGAGAAGACGTCGTACTAGTTGGGATGGTCGTCGTAGTAGATGTTGTCGTCGCCGTAGTTGTGGTAGAAATAACAGTTGTCTCAGTTTCAGACGTCACTGAAGTAGTTGCAGATGTTGTAGTTGTTGGAAGTGTTGACGCAGTCGGTGCAGTTGTTGTAGTGGTAAACGCAGTCGTTGAAGTAACAGTTGTCAGTGCAGAATGTGTAATGTTAGGAGCTGGTGATGGAGTAGATGGACGAGTTGTAGAAGGTACAGTCGGAGCAGTTGTCGTGCTAGTTGGGGTGGTCGTCGTTGTAGATGTCGTCGTCGATTGAGTTGTGGCAGAAATAACAGTTGTCTCAGTTTCAGACGTCACTGAAGTAGTTGCAGATGTTGTAGTTGGAAGTGTTGACGCAGTCGGTGCAGTTGTTGTAGTCGTAAACGCAGTCGTTGAAGTAACAGTTGTCAGTGCAGAATGTGTAATGTTAGGAGCTGGTGATGGAGTAGATGGATGAGTTGTAGAAGGTACAGTTGGAGCAGTTGCCGTGCTAGTTGGGGTGGTCGTCGTTGTAGATGTCGTCGTCGATTGAGTTGTGGCAGAAATAACAGTTGTCTCAGTTTCAGACGTCACTGAAGTAGTTGCAGATGTTGTAGTTGGAAGTGTTGACGCAGTTTCAGACGTCACTGAAGTAGTTGCAGATGTTGTAGTTGGAAGTGTTGACGCAGTCGGTGCAGTTGTTGTAGTCGTAAACGCAGTAGTTGAAGTAACAGTTGTCAGTGCAGAATGTGAAATGTTAGGAGCTGGTGATGGAGTAGATGGACGAGTTGTAGTGGTAGTTGCAGATGCCGTAGCAGTCGTTGCCGCCATCGAACTAGTAGCAGAGGTTTCAGTTGTGTTTGTTACAGTTGCACTTGCGTATGTCCCATTAGCTGCTACAATGGTAAAATACATGTATTAACGAAGAAGTCGTAGTCGTTGAAACAACGTGTCCGATATTGTCTAAAATGTTTAGAACATGTTTACAAATGATGTATGCAATATATACTGAACAAAAAGCGAAACTTCACATATGGAGAAATGAATTGCATCGAAAATGGGTCGTACAGGGAAGTTTTGATTTGCCAATACAATAATCTAACCTGATGCATCCGCCCATTTCAACTGTGGTCAACCACGTGGGGTGCATGCAGCGCGTTTATTTGTAAAAATGCGCCACCGCGCATGGGCGAGGTCACGTGACTACAATTTCATGCCCCTAACCACCAACACGTGTGCAGAATTTGCTGGTGATTAGACAAATAACGTTAACAATTCTTGAGAGATAAACAATTCTCATGCCGAGCCTTACATACGTTGAACGTGAACGTGCGCTTGGCATGCTCCAGGCTGGCCAGTCAACTTTGGCTGTTGCACGTGCCATGAGATGCAGCAGACGGACAATTCACAACCTGAGGACACCAATGCTTCAACTGGATACGACAACCGATCGCCCAAGTCATGATGACCACGTGTAACGTCACATGCCGAGGACAATCAAATTTCGCTACGTCATTTGCGTAATCGCAACGTCAACCAGTAAAGGTCCTGTCACACCTTGACGATTTAGCCAGCGTATGCCGACGTATGGAAAATTTGGCGAATAAGCCGGCGTACGTCGAGTTAGTTATGGATAAGTCTTGTATCAGTTAAACGCACGCTGAAGCTCGCTGACATTTTCGCGGAAAAAAATTCGACATATACCAACATATGGCTCATACCTCCTGCATACTCGGGCCATAAGTTGGACGTAAGTTATGCGATCGTTGACACACATCCACACACGTGATTTATTGTCAGTTACTCATGATTTGAATCGTCGAGCGGCAGCCATTTTGTCGGCTACGCTGTCGTGCGCTGCATGTGCATAAGTTAGACTATCGTTGGGCATAGGTTGTAAACGCCGGCAACACGCAAAGCATTCGTTGGTATAAGTTATCTGTAAGTTATCGAAACGTTCTATATAAGTTACTAATACGTTATCGGCGATGGGGTAACCTAGTGGTTAAAGCGTTCGCTCGTCACGCCGAAAACCCGGGTTCGATTCTCCATGTGGGTACAATGTGTGAAGTCCATTTCTGGTGTTCTCCGCCGTGATATTGCTGGAATATTGCTACAAGCGGCGTAAAACTAAACTCACTCACTCACTACTAATACGTTATGTATACGTTGAACTCGTTATGAATACGCCATGTATACGCCCAACATTGAAAAAAACCAATCGATAGTTCAGCGTATAGCAGCGTTTTAGAGAGATTTTGATAAGTCGACATACACTGGCTAAATCTTCGAGGTGCGACAGGGCCTTAAAGCACTGCTTGCGCGCTGTCCATCTTCGTATCGGACCCCCTTTTTTTGACCCTGGCACAGGTAAACCGAAATGGACGTCTACGCTAGGCACAGCTGCGCCTGCCATGGAACCACAGAAAATGCGACATAGTTGTTTTTAGTACCGAAACACGTTTTACGCTTCGATTTGCCGACGGAAGAGTGTTAGCGTGGCATCGGAGAGGTGAACGTCACGCCCGGAAGTTGATCGATTTCGTGGCGGAAGCGTTATGATTTCGGAAGCTTTCTGCGGAAACGTGCGCTCATGTCTTTTCGAAATTCGTGGGAACCACAATGCAGCAGGATATCATGACCAGGTCCTTGTCGCTGTGCTGGTGGGGTTCATGGCTGCTCATGGTCCAGGCCTCCAATTCCAACAGGACAATGTGACACCACACACAGCTGTTTTGACACGACATTTCCTGCAAAATGCGGGTATTGACGTCATGGAGTGGCTATGGAGATCACCTGATCTCAATCCCATCCAACACGTAGGGGATGCTCTTAGAAGAAGTCTTCGTGAATGAGACGTCAACCCCAGACTTTTCAAGGCATCAGGCAACCCATGCAATTATATTCTGTACAATAAGGAGGACAAAGTAGTGTTTTTGAATTAGATGCCTGTTGTCAGTATATACTCTAGCAGGTATTAAGTTTCGAAAGCGATTTGAATGTCTAAGCCTTTGATGTTTTAGAACAAGACATTTTTTTCACAGCATTTTGTATACCCATTCTTTCGCCGGTCAATGAAAAGTAAGCGTCGTCATGTGCGACGCATAACGGTAGTAGCTATGTCATCATCATTCGTATGACGTTACAGTTAGTGACAATATTTAATATGTAATAGATACATAAGACATATCTTCTTAGGGAGTTGAAAATGCTGTTCATAAAGCAGTAAAAGTCCCAAGAGAGACACTTAAACAAAAGAAACAAATACAGAGATAGACATTCTCCATTTGTTTGTATCTACAATCCTCATAACTGTACAATTATGTCCATTATAAAGCAAATCTGCCAGTTTTGTGTAAAAGTGACACTATGAAAAAAGGTTTATCAGTCAGTGTAACAAAATGTCAAACACCTCGATGCGGAACTTGTTCAATCATAACTGAAGACTGCAAATTTACATTTTGTGAAGGCAAACTATTTACTGTCAAAACCAACATGAACTGCCGCAGCAAAATATGTTATATATGTTTTATTTGTTTTGTGTTGGGCAAATCCATTAAGCAGACGCAGGTGACAGCATGTAGTTAATCTGTGCACTGGACCATAACATGTGTTGTTTTAAGCTGTAGTTCTTATGGGATGTAATTCTCATGGAAGGACACCGATATCAGCACTGGCTTTGAGATAAACATTAGATAAACACCCTTTGCTATTTTGAGCTGTTAACTGTACTCATTGTCACACAAATGACCCTGTTATATTCCAAGCTGGGATCACAGACATTTGCTACACTAATTCTATTAGTTTAACATCATTATAGTTTCACTGAATAGTAATGCTGGTGGTTTGTCACAGAGTTGAGTTTTCCCTTTAAACAGTTTACCATGTCAAGTAAACAGAGTGTAGTTAGGGAGGCTTTTGAATTTCCCGTTGATGGCATCCCTTCATCCAGACTTTTGAGGCCAAGTGCAAGACATTGTGGTTCTTTCATATCTGGATCCCTTAAAGCTGCTTCCAACTTCCTGTCACATCTGCAGGTAAGTGCTCCGTTATTATTGTTATTTCGCAATTCATGTGCAATTTCTATAAATCTAAAATGTTTAGCTAGAGATGTACTGGAAATTATTTTACCTTAAATTATTTTTACCTTTAAATTTTATTATATGGATAATACAATGAAGCGTTCATTTAAACACTGAATTTGGTGATGAAAGTTATACATGTTTGTTTGAGCATTTTTATTGACAGAGGTAGGACACAAACTGATAAAAGCAAACACTTACATGATAAATGTATACAACAGACAATAAAGAATAGTAAACATCAGTCAAATAGCTAGATTTTAGTTGGTTCAAAACTTATCTGCCCATCTAAATAAATTCCTGATCAATATTTAGATATAAATGAGACTGCCGTTAACTCTAGCCATGTGAATGGCATGTAACTATCACCATCTGCACATTTGTGAAACAATGGGAATCAGTAACGCATGACTGAATGTAGGTTAGTATTTGAGGAAATGGGGGATTAACTGTACTGTTAGTCAAGTTCCTATCAAAATGGCCTCTTTGTTTATTTCTCATAGGATATGACATTCTGACACCATTTGCAGAGGCCACAGAACTTGGGCAGGGACAGACCATAGTCACAGCGAGTGTTGTTGTGCCATGTGTGAAAGGATTACAATCCCAGACTGAAAGTATTACATCAAAATACAACAAGTTGGTTGCCGCCTTAAGAGCTTCTCTCATCAAGAGACTTCCCCTCACGAATAAAACGATGGGTATGTGATGGCTAGCACCCTAGAGCCAAGGTTCAAGCTGAACTGGTGCAGTAGTCAAGAGGAAACCGAGAAAGTCACAAATACACTGATTTCAAAAGTGCTGACTTCATCTCCTAGAACCGTCTCCAATGAAGAAGCTGATATGCAATCACCACCAAAGAAGAGAGCCAAACTGTTCAGCTACATGAAGAGCAAACCTCTAATCAGGCCATCAGTGCCTGCAGAGCAGGAGGTACAGGAATATCTGGCACAGCCAACCAGCGAGGAAGACTGCAACCCCCTGCAATTTTGGAAGGAGCAGAAGAATGTGTTCCCTTTCCTTAGCGACCTTGCCAAGAAATACCTGGCTATACCTGCGTCGTCAGCCCCAGTTGAGAGGCTGTTCAGGGTTGCAGGGAAGACATTCAGGCCTGACAGATGCAGGCTGAACAGCACAACCTTTGAGACATTGATGATGATCAAGTCCAATGGACATATGCTGAAGAAAAGGTTGTGCTGTTCAGCCTGCCATTTGACTGCGAGCAAAGGTGTGAAAGTTAGTAGGACGTCCGACTAAATGGACACATGAAAAAAAAAAGAATGAAACCTGTTTTAAGTTTATATATCAAACAATCCTAATTTTGCATTTCACATTTTGATGACAAAAATGTTAATTGGATTTAGTGACCACTGTTTACCAACATCTATATCGTGTTGATTAAAGAAATACAGAAATATATCTGTTTTGATTTTGTAGTGTATTTTTTAAGTAATTTATAATGTAATTAATTACATTGGTAATGTAATTGTAATTGAGGAAAGTCAAAGTAATTGTAATTTAATTAATTACGTTTCAGAGTAATTGAACCCATGTCTGGACACAACCCTGTAAAACGAAAAGAAAGACTTACCTGGAAGGTTAAATCCAATCCATCCAGTCTCAGACGTGAGATTTAACTGTGACACCTGTTCTGAGTTCAGAATGCACTTCAGAAGAGTTTGGTGATAGAAGAAAGCTGCACAGTTGCCCATGTTGACGCAGTCCACAGCACATTCAGATAAACTGGAA